TCACACGTTAGTATATTAATATATTTACATATATTATTATACATTTTATTATTAACATATATATTTTATTATAATTATATAGATAATTATATAGATATTTTATTATAAACAAAAATGCACTTTAATTTACTAAATTGAATTTTATTATTATATATAGTGCGGGACCATGTAACGCTCATGTGCATTCATCAACTCAACATACTTGTGGAGAGGGAGGAAACAGTAGTCCCCCGAATACTCGATGCAATAATGGAACGGATAACGCAGCGTATACAGAAAATTATCTCCCACCTCCTATTTTACCGCCGCCGCAGCAACCGACTGTTTATAGTCATCCTGAAGCTCGAGGGCCATCTAGTTTCTATAGGGGACCATGTCCTGTGCTGCCTATAATCGTAATCTAACAACTCATGCAATATATATTATCAATACAATATTTTATATTATTTTCTTATTACATTATTATATAATTTTCTTATTATTGTATCCACAGGTAAATCCATTGAATAATCAACCAGTTGACTCAATGTCTTCGTTAATGTTACCATCGTTACATCAACCAATACATCAACATGTACATCATCACATGTATCATTATGATCCACATCAACGGCCGTCGCAACGCATGCATCACGTTCACATTAGTTTCCATCCCCATATGGTTTGTTTTCTCTTTATATTGTTAAGTATGTTACACTGACTTTTCAAACATTGTTTCATATTATTTTAACATATATAGCAAGGATCTGGAGCACACCAGATAGGTTTGCCATTTGCACCAGGTATGTCAGAATTTGTATTGCAAGGAGCACGTCATATGTCACGATTGGACAATTATATGCGCATTGTTGATTTGCGACGTATGGCTCATATAAGTTGTGGAGCTACACAAGAATCAATTGAAAGCCATACATTCCCTCACAAATATAAACGGGTAAGAACTGAAATTTAAATAAAACTTTTTGATATCGTTATATATGAGTTATCTAAGCAGTTTTATTATAATATCTATTATATTAATTATGTGTATCTATTTATATATTTAGGTAAAAAAAGTAGAAAATGGCGAAGATGCTATTGAGAAATGTACAATATGTTTATCTGAATTTGAAGATTGCGAACGTGTTAGGTAAGAATTTTAGTTCCAACTTTTCTGTATTTTTTGTATTTTTTTAGATAAGACATTATAAATTATAACTTATTTTATTTATTCAGGAGGCTTCCATGTATGCATTTATTTCATATTGACTGCGTTGATCGATGGTTATGCACCAATAAACGTTGTCCTATATGTCGAGTGGATATCGAAACATTTCTCCATAAAGAATTTACTACTTCGGAACAATAGTTTAAGGTTTCCCATATCTGCCTCTTTTTGAAATGTAATCAGGTAACATATGTATATGATATCAAATATTTCAAGATGGTCGATCCAGGAAAGATATACTGGATTACTACTACTATTACGGAATAATATTGTAAAAATGATATGGATAATCAAAATAACAAAGCATCAGCTGAGTTCCTCAAGAAGACGAAAAGAATTGTCATTGTTTATTTTAATACTTCTAACTGTGGTTTATTTTATGCGTTTTGATAATGATAAATACTAAATTGTTTTATCAAATACTAATGGTTTATTAATATTTTATTTTTGTGTCTTTGTTTATAAATACATAAAATGAAATCTATATGAAAACATTCTACATTCTTTATATAATTTATGGAGATATATTACATATGTTAAAATATGTAATATTTTTAAAATATATACACAAAACAACTCAATTTAATTCTATGTTGATATAACTTCTGGTATACAAGATAATATATACATATAAAAAATTATATATATTCAGTATATTTGAACTTATGAGAATGTATTGGAATTTCTAAATATGTAAATATTGCATTGACTGTATGTAAATTTTTGTAATGCTTGTATTAAAATTGTGATCTTAACAAAATTCTAGTATTTTACATGTTATACTAGCGATAATTTGAAGAGTAGTTTTGTTCTAATTTTGTCCTTTATATTAATATATACATGTATTAGACCCTATTTTAAATTCTGAATAATATTAGTATTATGATCTGTATATTGGAAAAATATTAATTTGCATTTGTTACAGATTGCTAATGATTATTCTCCAAATGAAAATATCGTGCATTTTTTAAATTACTTTGTATTATTGTATCTATCAGTATATTATGTTACTTTTTGTATAGACTTCTAATTGAACGTAGCTTCAATTGAAATAATACTGAAAATCTCTCTCTGAAAATGATATGACAGGCTTGGATTATGAATTTATACTGAATTATTTTGATTACTATTACCGATGCTAAGCCAAAGACTTAGCTTAAGTTATAAACATAAACTGAAATATCTGATCTATAGAATGATTAAGCAATTTTAAATTAAAGATAATCACCATTGCACCTATGAAAACTATGAAGAAAAGTCACTGTATCGTCAGGCCTTACATATATTGTCACTCTTGTACATATGTTCTATTACATAATAGAATCAAAATAATACTACCGTTCTATAATTATAATGATCCGTGGTAAAGACTACTTTTACCACATTAGTACCTTTACGCATACACACACATGGTATTCAAGATAATACTGTGACGTGAATAATTTTATTTTGTTAATGTACGATAAAAAAATATATAATATATAATATATAATAGGTACACAACACGTAAAAATGAACATATATCATACTTACAGAATTAACCATTGCTGGTTTGATATTAAAAGAAATGAATCACGAAGAGGGAAGTATTATGTATTATTATCAAAGATTTTTATGAAGTCCAAGTTTGGTGAAGATCTATATTTCTGCTATAGATTATAAATTTTATCGTCTGAACGTATAATAACGATCTCATATAATTATTTCATTATTGATGAACAATTGTTATCGCGGAAACATTTTTACACTGCCATATACCAATACTATCATGATTCAGTTATTATGGAACATGGGAGAGTGTCTCTTTAATGATCATTTTATTTTATACAACAAATTTTAATGTTGTTTAATCGAATATATTAATAAAAGTTTTAACTATTAAATTAATATTTCGAAGGTGATATGTAATGCGTCCTGTTTCAAGGATTGTGAGAACAGAAGAAAAGATATATTTGCCATATACAATCAAGTAGTTAGTTATAATTCGTCTCGATTTCTTATTTTACGAAATAAGAGCAAATGGATATATACATATATGTACCTCTATATTAATTATAATTACAAAATGTATGTATGTATATATATATATATAC